TCTTTCTTTCTTTCTTTCTTTCTTTCTTTCTTTCTTTCTTTCTTTCTTTCTTTCTTTCTTTCTTTCTATACTTGTCACTCTACTGTTATTTAAACATTTGTTTGTATGATGGAAAGATCAGCACACCCAATAAATTACAAGTCAGCCCCATAAAACCAATTCCATGAGTACTAACATTCCTTTTATTGTAAGGTTACAGTAACAGAATCTTGTAAGTCTGAAAGACTTATTTTTCAAGACTTTCCCTTCTTTTTATTTTCCAGAGAACTAGGGAGGGTCCCTTCTGAGATGAGTTATCTCTTGTCTGACATTTGCCCTGGCTGCAGCTCTTCCTCCTGTCTCCCAAGGTTATTTTCGCAGTTTGTTACACAATACAGTCCACTCAACTTTTCAGTCACTGGATATCATTCCTGGCCTGAACCCTAAATTTAATGACTGGATTTGCACACAACAAGAACAGTTATTTTATACTGTAGCCACTTAGCCACTGGGATTTGCAAACCAGAATTTACAAACCACAGTTTCTGACCTAGCTTGGACCACAGCAAGGAGGTGGTTAGGAGACGATGTTTAGGCAAACCACATAAACCAGAGGTGGTATTCAGCAGGTTCTGACCAGTTCTGGAGAAACAGTAGCGAAAAATTTGAGTAGTTCGGAGAACCGGCAAATATCCCCTCTGACTGGCCCCGCCCCCTATCTATTCTCTGCCTCCCAAGTCCCAGCTGATTGGCTGGGTCTTCTTTTGTTGCCCTGCACAGGAGAACGGAGCTGTGGGTGGAGAGTGGGGTGGGGAGGGAATGGAGATTTTACAGTACCCTTCCCCTGCCATGCTCACCAAGCCACGCCCACCAAGCCACACCCACAGAACCGGTATTAAAATGTTTTGAATCCCACCAGTGATGTAAACCTGCTTAATAAGGGATAGTTAATAAAAAGTATTCCTTGAAATGTAGCATAAACACTGGAGTTCTCTACTATGAATAAGGTACTATAGGTGCTTAGGGAGGAATACTGTTATTTATGGCTTTCCCCACTTCTGTACAATATGACAGTTTGCTAAAAACTAAAAATAAGACTCCTAGGCAACTGTTAAAAGTACAAGAGTCCTGTCATCCTGAACAGTATTTCAAAACTAGAGGTGGGAGGCACTGATTCTAAGAAGGTTTTTTCCCCCCTAAAATTGCTTTCATTTGGAAATAGGTCCAGATTGTTTCCTTTTATATATAGCCCATCTGCTAAAATTTATATATTGCCATAGACTTTTAATTCTGTCCAAGCTGCCATTTTGCATTCTACATTGTCCTGACTGTCATGCTTAATAATTAGTAATAATTATTAGTAATAATTATAAGGCATACATTTAAATTGTCCCTTCCACCGCTATTTAAATTATTAATGGTTTAAAAGTTCCCACTTGTGTTAGTCATAAAAGAAATGTTTATGCCATTGGCTGTTTTTTTTTTTAATAAAAAAAATACGTTCTCTTTGCATCTAGAACAACATTATATGACATGTCTATGATTTTAATTTGATTGTATTAGGCCATAGCAATGTTTTATATGATAGCTCTAGTTAGTTATTTCTGCCTCCCCCCCACCTCTTTTTTCTGTCTTTTAGCTTTTACTGTATTCAGTTCATTTGCTGAGAATGAAGATGCTCTTTTGCGACACTTGTTTCATGGATATCAGAAATGGATCAGGCCAGTAAAACATGCTAATGATACTATAAAGGTATATTTTGGACTGAAGATCTCTCAGCTTGTAGATGTGGTAGGTAATCTTTAAACTAATTTTTTTCTAACATTCATTGATAGGAGCGGTCACATTATTTCCCTTGATAAGGGATGCTCCTGTTTGTCTCCATCAATCTTGTTAATGACTTTTTATTAATATTTAATAACAATGAAATTGTTTTCCTCCCCTTTATTTAATTAGCAGGATGTGATTGGACTGGCTAGTTTTTCAAATAACCATCAGCCATGCTGGTTAGAGATTATGGGAGCTCAAATCCAAGCTGAAGGAGAGCAAAATATATACCCTTATTGCTTTAGGGCAAGGGTCTCCAACCTTGGCAACTTTAAGACTTGTGGACTTCAACTCCCAGAATTCCTCAACCAGCATGTTGGGAGACCCCTGCTTTAGGGGGTCTTAAGAGTGGCAGTTCAGGAATACAGATACAGTATCTGAAAGGTATGTGACTATAGGAAGCATAGCTCATGCTTAAGGCGTGCAATTTTTTTCATTTTTTTTTCTATTTGTTGCTATGTACATGCATAAAGTTTTGGGCTGGTATATATAGGCTGTAAACACAGATGGTGTAGTACTGGTCAAAATATAATAAAATACCTTGAGCCCTGCTATTCTACCCTTTGATAATTTCTTCCAATTGTTCTTTGCCAGAGTAACCTTCAAGGTTCACTCTTTGTACATGCATGTGCTTGTATGTGTATACCCGCTTGCAAAGGGCATAGAGACATATCCTCCAGATCTTACAGGCAATATAGATCCTTTGTTATTAAGCCTACAAATGCATTTTTTTTAAAAAAAATGTGATTATATTTGCAGCCCTACAAAAAGATTACATAGTTTACTTTTGCAAAGATTTTATGAAGGTATGTACTTTTATGGTTCATCACACAGCCAACCAGGTGTTCAGATTGGATTTGGCATTTTTTTTGCACCTGTTGAGTCCTCCCCAGGACCTGGGATAGGCAGAAGTGGTTATTTGATGATATATTGGTATAGTATACTACATGTGTAAATCCAAGCAGCATAGTCTTTTCTAATTATCAATACACAGATTTTCTAAATGATGTCCAAAATGTTTTGGGTTTGGCACTCATCTGCTGATAACCACTGGGACCACCAAGACTGGTTTGTGTCATAATCTTTCAGTTTCGATTTTCAGATCTTGATACTTTGTCAACTTCTGCCATTCTTTGACTTCCATTCTACTATCCCCTGGTATTGTCACATCAGTTATCCACACTTTACAGCCACAGTTAAATTTGGCCCGTTATGAGCCAAATCTATCCATTTTTATTGAATTTCCCATGTTTTAACTAGCTCCTTTCAACTCTATATTCCCACCAATTTTCCCAACTGACATACAATATAAATCATTTTTATATGACTTGTGCTGATCATTTTGATGACTGTGTTGTCATTATCATCAGTTTGTGTGATCTTCCTGCATGAATTGTTCATAAATTAAATGTTCAACTTTGCTCACAGTTGCTGTTCATTTAGAATAGTTAAAACAATGTAAGTATCTATAAAAAGATAGAAGCCAGAAATTCCCATTTAACTCTCATATAATGTTCTTATATATGTTCACAATGTTTAAGTTAAAAATAATTGAATTAAAAACAATTTTGGGTAGTGTTAAACATTTTGATGGAAACATAGATCCAATGTGCAATTGCTCTGATAATACAAATTTCACATTGGGGAACAAATTTAAAATAAAATTGTAATTATAATGTTTTGGAGCAAATGCTGTATTTAGGCAAATACTATATATTGTCTTAGCCACTGAATCTTAAATGCATTTATGAACTTGAAAAAAATACCAAGTAAGCAGCTTTATAACATTGAAGTCAGTAAAACAACTTGTTTATTAGAAAATCTTATAACGTTGAGGACTTTAAGCTTGAAGAAAAAATAAATCCCAAATCAAACATAAAATTATGCATTTATGCAGAAATTGCTGCCTGAAATGCTACATATTATGGAAGGATCCAATGTTAATGCTAAGTAATACAGAAATTGGTCAGGGAAATTTCCTTTCCATGCCTTATTAGAAGAATTGGAGTATTCTAATTTGCTGAGTGGCAAAAAGTGGATGACAGAAAAAAAGAGAGCATGTAATTAAACTATGGAATTTGATTATATATCACTTTATGTAGGTTTAAAAGGAGATTAGACAAATTAATGGAGGATAAGTTTATTAATGAGACCCATTTGGTGGTGTCATTCTTTCTCAGTCCTAGGAGGAAGGCTCACTTCTGAAAATGTTGCCAAGAAACTTCATGGACTGCTCTGAATTTTCAGCAGGAGTAAAGACTGACTTGGAAAGACACCACAGAGATAAAGATTATCAAAGTGACTAGTCCCTATAGCTACCAATTACTTTTGGTATTATTGCTTGGGAGATGAAAATGTTCTTGAGCTTCTGCTTATATGATGACCTGTCATGGAGCAGATTCTTGCCAGGGTTGCAGCTAATCAGAAGCTATATTTTTCCAGAACTGGAGCCTAAAGACTGTTGATCAGGCCCAGTTTAGATCAAGACTCTAGGCCAGCTCAATCCAGAGGGAATTGTTTGCCAAATGCTGTAGCAACTTATATTTTGTTCTATGATTAAAGACTTGGAATCTACCTTGGTTATGTCCCAGCCTTGGGCTGCAAGATTTCCAATTGCTAGTCTGGAGTCCCTGCTTGGCACAGGGAAGGGCAAAGCCAAAACCGCTGCATTTATTCTGGTCGCGTGGCTATAAAAGGGTCCAGAGCAACTTTCAAGATCAGGTGTTTTACTTCAGGGAAGATATGACTTAGGTGACTCATATGACATATGAGCCACGGTGGCACAGTGTGCAGTACCGTAGGCTACTTCTGCTGACTGCCAGCTGCCTGCAATTTGGCAGTTCAAATCTCAACAGGCTCAAGGTTGACTCAGCTCTCCCTCCTTCCGGGGTGGGTAAAATGAGGACCCAAATTGTTGGGGGCAATATGCTGACTCTGTAAACCACTTAGAGAAGGCTGTAAAACACTATAAAGTGGCATATAAGTCTAAGTGCTATTGCTATATAGGGTAGCACAGAGATATCTGATATTACCAGATATCTGAAGAGACAAAAGTGGACGTAGAGAAGAGAAAGGAAGAAAAGGAAGGCATGCTAACAGTTTAATTTTCAACAGTTTTGAAGCATTTGACTTTCTTGTCACCTGCAACAAAAATCACAGTGGAAAACTGAAAAGGAAAGTAGGTAAACTTATGTGTATATGCAATTACTTTTCCAGCACAAGAAATACTGGTTTTTCAGTTTGTTGGAAGAAATATCCATCTGGTTCAGTTCCAAGCAGCCTTTGAGCTCAAAACTCAAAACCCCTTTAAAATCCTTGTTCCAAACAGCCAAGGTCCGGGAAAACTCGCCCATAGACTCAGTGGGTCAGCTGCCCAGAACCACCCATGTGCTTCTGCTTCATCAATAAATGGATCCTCTTTTCAATCAGCCTCCAGACTCCATTTTGTCTCCAGTGCCTTTTTTCTTCCAACAAGTCTTAGGAATGCACTAGAGCTGTTTAGGAGGCAAAGGCCTTCAAGGGTACAGTTGATTAAGGTCTTGTGACTTTCAGGCAGGAGGGAGGAGGTGGTAATCAACTAATTAATCTGCTAATTAGAGCTGAGCTTCTTAACTTATAGTTAACTGATTAAGGAATTGATTATGTGATGGAAAAAAAACTGCTCAGGAAAAGAAAACTTGTTAGATATTCAAAAAGGCCAAAGATATTTGACTATGCCTGCTGGCCAGAAGAGACAAGGAAGCTATATTCTCTTCTTGCAGACGTTCTCTGGAAACCCTACTTCTGAATCAAATAATTATGCAAACACTTGTAAAGTCATTTTATCCTCCTCCTTTTCTAGCCTTATGTACTAATAGCAATCTTAAAGCATTCAAGTTTAATTATTTTACATAGGGCTCCTCCTGGGAAGCGAAATATCCTCAGAAAATGTAGCTGACTCCCTGGGGGTATAGGGGATATTTTAAAAAAAATAAAAATAAATGACCTGCTCCCCCCCCCTCTTCTCCAACAGGATGAAAAGAACCAGTTAATGACAACTAACGTATGGCTGAAACAGGTAAAAATAGAACGGTATTATTTTAAAATATTTAATTGCTTGAATTGTTAGTAATCAGTGAGTTTTAATATCCCTGTAAATATTTTTCAGCTTGTGAGACAGATGTTCCAATCTGGTTCTATGAATCTATAAATCTAGCCTCCCCTTAATGGGTATAAATTGGTTAATGTCACAGATACTTTGGTTAAAATAATTAATATTTAAGGATATTTCCAATTAATGTTTTATAAAAATGTCAAATCTAATGCCATCCAATGCAACATATAAATGGCTTTACTAATAGAAGAGAATATTTGCAGCTCAGGGTTGAACTGTGGGGTCCGTGATGCTCTTTGAGTTTGGTGGTTTTCTTGCAGGTATTTTATTACCCAACTTTGTAACATCATCAGTGCTAGCAGAAATGGCTTTTGTTTTAACCAATGTACAGGTAGTCCTCAACTTACAACCAAAATTGAGCCAAAAATTTATGTTGCTAAGTGAGGAATTTGTTAAGTGAATTTTGTCCCATTTTATGACTTTTCTTGCCACATTTGTTAAGTGAACCACTGCAGTCATTACATTAGTAACACAATTCTTAAGTAAATCTGGTTTCTCCCTTAACGTTGTTTGTCATAAAAGGTGGTCACATGACCCTGGAACACTGCAATTGTCATAAGTGTGAGCCAATTCTCAAGCATCGGAATGTAAATCACATGATCTATGGGGATGCTGTAAGTGTGAAAAATGGGCGTAGGTCACTATTTTCAGTGCCTTTGTAACTTTGAACTGTCACTAAGTGAATTGTTGTAAGTTGAGGACTATCTGTATTTGAACAGCAATGTTCACATTGTATTTTGAACATGTAAAAATGTTATTTTTTTATTTACCAAACCTATTTGCCTCTCATCTCTCCAAAGTAACTCTAGGTGGCTTACAAACATTCAATTCCAATGTCATGTTCCCAAGAGCACTAATTACCACCTTCAGTTAGCGTCTCTTTATTTTATTTTTATTTATTGTGAAATTTATTTGCCTCCCATCTCATATCCAATGACTTTGGGTGGCTTACACGCAAAGATATTAAAACCATCAATTATAAAATAACACTGCAGGTAAAAAAAAATCATTAACACAAGATGGCAAAGGAGGGAGCCGGACACACCTGGGAGGTGGGGTGGGGGGATGTGTAATTATGTTTTAATTAGTCAACCCCCTTCAGTGGGACCATATCTGCTATGGTCTTTCCTGAATAGATATCCCTTTCCTGAATAGGGATAGCATAGTAGTGAATTATGTGGGTGCTTTTCATTTAGACTACATTTTATTTAGACTGCATTTTATGGTGGGGCTGCCCTGGCAATTGATCCAGAAGCTTCTGCTGGATCAGAATGTGGCAATGAAGTGGTTGAGTGGGGCATTTTCCTGTACACCATGTCATGCTAATAGGCCCTGAGCCAAATTCGGGCTTCCAGTTTTATTTATTTATTGATTGATTGATATTTATTTGATTGATATTTATTTATTTGATTTATACTGCCGCCTATTTGCCAATGACGACTCGAGGCATCTTAAAGAATATAAAACCACATTTAAAACAGTAAAACTAATAAGAAGAATCAAATAAATTGATATAAGAAAACCACCTCCCAACCTCCCACCCCAGGGACAGCAGATCACACGAGCCATTTAATGGGCTCCATCCCACTCTGGGTTCCCCAGGCCCACTGGCAGAACCAGGTCTTCAGCGCCTTCCGGAAGAGCGTTAGAGTGGGGGCCGTTCTAATCTCTGGGGGAATAATGCTCCTGAGAGAGGGAGCCACCACAGAGAAGGCCTTTCTTCTGGGTCCTACCAGATGTATATCCCTCGGGGATGGGACCCGCAGCATTCCCTGCCTCATGTTTTGATGCAGGAGGTCTAAGTAGCCTTTGCGATGATAAACCTGACTGAAGCATACAATCTCTAGTCATTGCAAAACAATGCTGTGCAGTGGTGGTATTCAGCAGGTTCTGACCAGTTCTGGAGAACCGGTAGCGGAAATTTTGAGTAGTTCAGGGAACCGGCAAATACCACTTCTGACTGGCCCCACCCC